GTGTGTGTGTGTGTGTGTGTGTGTGTGGATGAGTGTTACACAAGAGTTAGACAGCAAGTATCTCTTCATTTAAAGCTGCTGACACACACCTGCAATCTTTGAACTTTGAACTGAGACAAATGAAGCAGTAAAACGATGGTCAGATGAGTGTGTTTCTGTGGCCGGGTACGTGCTGTTCATCCGGATGGATGCACAGCTCAACCCGCCAATTTGAATATTTAAGAAAAATGGTAAGGTTGCAGCACCACATGCTGGTCAGCAGCTTTTATTACAGCTTCAGACTAAAAACCTCTTTGAACAATATTAAAATCGGCATTTATCCTCTAGTCTATATTGGTTTCACTAACATGAGTTTAAAACAAGTTTGCTTTTTGTTGACATCCCTTTACTTTAAATGGTGCCTAATCTATCTCAGGGACGGAAAGATGTTGCTAAGCAAGCCCATACGTTACCACAAGCAGATATCAAGTGTTTGTGGTGATTATCTCCACTTAACCGTATGGCCAGCAGCCTATGCGTTACGTACCACTGCTGTTTTCTAGCTGCCCACCCCTCAAAGCTTTCCAGTAGGAGCTGAAAACAGCTTAAAGAAGCCACAAACAAAAAGCTTTAGCAGCCGTTACTATAAAGCAGCAAAAACGTTTTGACTGCGCAAAAATGGAAATGATGCAAAGAGCAAAGATGCGAGGAATTAAAAGTAAACGAAAAAAACTTAAAATGTAAAAATAAACACCTTCTGACGATGGATCTTATGAAATATTCCAACAAATGCAACGATACACCATCTGACAAAAATGGCAGAATAAAAAATAATACAGCTCTGTAGACAAAGACAAAACAGTCTGTAATAAAAAAAAAAGGAGAGAATAAAATTTGTCTATAATCTATAATCTTTACTATTCCACAACCCTATCGACTCCTACTGAATGCATCTGCTTTCCTCTGCACACGTAAGGAGCCTAACTGTACGAAAACTCGGGCTCGGACAGGACCGGAGTCGTGGAGGAGGACGTGGAATCGGCCAGTGAGGCCAGGCTATTGTCCATGCTTCTGTTCCAGGGGCTCCGATTGGGGGTTGACGGGTAAGAGGGTGTGGAGCAGTTGGAGGCGGGACCCGAGCTGGGGCTACTGTGATTGGAGAAAGACGAGAACAGACCATCTTTTCGCAGACCTTTGTTTTGGCGCTCTAAATGAAGGTGGTGGCAGATTTCTTCAGGTAGTCGCTGCTGCTCCTCCTCCAGATCCTTTTCCAACCGGGCCTGAAGCTGGACCAGAAAGGACAGCAAACATGGCTTTATTTGCTTTATTACAAAGAGCTAGATCAGATGCCAACATGCTAACATTCAGTCTAGAGTCAAGGTGAGATTTTCAGCTAAATAATATTTTATATGTCTCTCATGTGATCCGTGTCAAACAGGGATGAAGCAAATGTTTGAAACATGAACGATCTTACTGCTCACCAATGGAAGCTCTTCATCTATGTGCTGCAACACCTCCCGCTGCCTCAGCACCAGTTTCTCCTGCCTCCTGTTCTGTGCCTCCTCCAACTGATGGCCAGAAAATGGAAAACAAGAATTAAAGGTTTCAAAGAGGATATATATTTGAAAAAAAATAAAAGTGTGTCGGTATGCAAGTCCTTACCCTGCGGATTAAAAGGACGGAATCCTGAATATGCTTCCTGTTGATCTCATTCAGTTCCCTGGAAAATGAATGGTATTGACAGTTTAGAATAAAAAAGATTAGTGAAAGGTTTGAAAAGCTACATATAAAACCACCACATCATCATTAGCTTAGAGGGGAAAAAAGGACAAAATGCTAAATGTTTATTACGATTCAGCCTTGTCTTTTTCTCTGGTCTTGGCTTCAAAGATGCTGTTTTGTCGTTTCCTATCCAGGATCTTCTGAAGCTCCTTCTTCTCCCTGCACACAAATGAATCTCAATATTGCAACCGGAAGAACACAATATGCAAGTCCTGAAAAGAACACAGAGACTGTAAAATAGTAGTCCAATAATTGTCCTTACTTCTCGCATATTTCCCTGAGCTTCTTCATCTGAGCTGATTGGCATTCAACGGCCGTCTCCTTCAACTTCTGAAAGGCCTAAAAACACAGAACGGCCAGAGATAACCTGTCAGTAAATAACTGCAGACTCACTTAAGACAGAAAGTTTACTTCACAGATCGCACTAAATGGTTGAAGATTTGTGCGCTTAACTTTATAAGAGAAAACAAAATAAAAAGATTTAAAGTGGGTAAGATCTTCTAATGTACCTATGAGACAAAACACGAGGATTTTTCTTTCTTTGGAAAATTGTGAACATTTTCACACCCATCTTTGAACTACAGTATCTAGCGAGGCTTTCAGTGCACAATGCATTAGAAGCTGGAACAGTCTGATCTGATTGGGAGAGCTGTCACCTCTTCAAGATGAGTTTGTTGCCTCTCTCTTTCTAGTACGTGCAGCTTCTGTCGAAGTTTCAGGAGCTCCTGCATATTTCCCTCCCGCAGCTGGGCCGTCTGCTTCTCCAGCTCCCGCTCCAGAGCAGTCAGCTCACTCTGCACCGGTTCCGGAGGCTCACTGAGTTCCAAATGAACAAAATTTCAATCAGCTGCCACCGTTTACGAATATCTATGGAGCACATTTTCGTACACAAGGCAACTCAAACTGCTTTACATCATAACATCTAAAGATGCTAAACACAAAACATTTAAACATAATAGACAATCGGTAATAAATTATATTTAAATTGAAAATTGCAGATAAAATCTCTTCATTTGTGATTTGCACAGCTGAATAGAACCGTTTTCAGCCTGGATGGAAAAATTGAGGCCTGTCTCAATTACCTAATTGTCAGAAATGTTACATGGTTAAGTTGTTGAAAAGTGTGCATAAATTGTAGTAAAACAGAAGGCTTTATGGATTTTTTTTTACATTTTTTTCTAAACCGTGTTGTCAACGTACTTTTTCTTTATACTGCGTTTGAGATTTTTCTCCATCTGGCTGCGTCTCCTCTGGGTGTCGGACTGAAGTTGGGTGCTGCGGCTCTTCTGCTCCTTGTTGAGATTACTCACCTACATTTAATTGAAAATAAGAAAGAAAACATGTTGTTTAGTTTTCTTAGTTTTAACGGCCAGTATCTGGATTTACCTTTATATGTGTAGTGCAAAATGAAATACTGATGGACTTAAATTTGAGTGATTCTATCACGCACATACCTTCTTAAGGTTTTTCTTGCGCAGCTCTTTGAGTTCTTTGCTCTGCTTTTTTAAAAGTTTCACATAACCCTTCTGCTGCTTCAGTTCCTCTACTGAAAGAACCAGGATTTCTAAAAAAAAAAAGAAATTGATGGATGAAGAGACAGACAGAGAAATGAATAACTTCCAGTAAACTGCCCGGTTCTGGCTAGTCCAGCTTATGGAACTTAAAGGGACTTTAACGGATCTATTTAATGCAGCTCAATACGACAAACGAATTGACTGCATTCATTTTCATCGTGGAAATGAATATGTTGTGATGAACTCACCTGACAGGACAGTAGCTATGAGGTCCTTCTGGATTTGTGCTACACACAAACGCACACACACAGACATACGAGAGAAAAGCGTAGACAGAGGACATATGAGATGGGTGATGGACAAATGAAGTGCACACTGATAGCAAAATAACTTCTGGACACCACTTCTGGAGTCCTACGAAGCTTGGCGTTTGGATTCACAAAATCTTGTTTCTTCACATAAATGTTCTATTACAGCCCGAAGATTACACAAATTAAAAAGGATTAAAGTATTAAAATACTGCTAATACATATCACATCAGAGTATATGCAAACAAACAGAAAGTGGATGTTTGATCCACTGTGCGTGTCCCAACCTGGAGTAGATGGCTTGATGACATCAGTGGATTCATCTGAGGGGCAGGGAGTAAACTGCTGGACCGGAGAAGGGAGTTGATCCACTGGTAAGCGTTCAGAGTCTTTGATCTCTCCTTCTCTGACCTGGTTGTTGGAATTCTGAACAAAAGCAGAATTCACACTTCATGTATTTATATGGACAAAAAGTGCCACATAATCAGAATCAGAACTGTTCTAACCTCCCTGCAAAATATCAACATTTATTTTCCTCTTGTTAGTTTTCAATAGCATGCTGGTGTGCCTCACCTCGGTGTTGTCCACCATGAGGTCAGCCAGCTGTATTTCTCTCTTAGCCCACTGACTGATGTGCTTGATGGGGTTGGTCAGGGCCTCTGCGTACTCTGTGCGTACACACACATCAAAACAGACGCCTGGGTGTTAAAGAGGGGCTTCCGCCATCTTTAACACAGGTCAGTCTAGGCAAGCGTCAGGCTGTGAATCTAACGCTGTTACCCTGGTGTTCGTTTGGGATGTAGTCCTGAGCTTCAGTGTAAAGCAGAAGTGAGGGCAGCAGAAGTGGCTGGTTCAGCTCATTCTTCAGGTTGATGTAGTGGTAGCCTTGAAAGGACAAAACAAATGAAAAGCTGTGTAAGGCTATAAGCCAAGGGAAGTCTGTGAGTTATATGTTAACACACTATATAAATTTGACTTTGCTTCCACAAACAGATTGTTGTACATTCTTCATTATGATAGTGTTATGGGTGTGAGTTTTTTTTTGTTTTTTTTACCAGGTCTGATGGCTGACACGGGTAAAATTCGGTGTCCTATAAACTTGCCATTTTCCTCAAACACAGCTATTCTCAGAGAGGCAAGAGTAGGGAGGACAATCTAGAAAGAGTTGATGGCACAAGAGAAGTTTAGAAAAAGATCCAAATCAGAGGATGAATGGGACTGAAGATACCAGTGATCGAATTTTGATCTGGGTGTTTTTACCTTATTGAAGACAAACATTTCATCATCCCACACCGGGTCCAGTGAGTTCCCATTGGAGGTTTTGGTTCTATACTTTCTTTTAGTATCAGTTGGAAGTCCAAAAACATCCACCTCTACATACACACCCACCTTTTTATCAGTCAGGAACTGACCCGAAATCACCTATTTGAAGTAGAATTACACTTTGTTAGAAACCTAAAAAAAAGCTGCATCAATCAAACATATAACAAGATACTAACACTTTATTTAAACTTTACCTTTATTTTGACTGTATTGGCAACTATTCCATCAACTATGTTTTCTGTAAAAGGGTCGAAGTGCTTGTCCGTCCTTCTCATGAACTCTGGTTTCAGCAGGTATCCGCTGTGGCCATTATATTCAAATACCCCCATGTTCAGCTGCATGGGAAGGTCTGACAGATAGAGTGGGAAAATTAGGAAGGGGAAGATAGAGACTTGTGAATGTTGAACGCTAAGGAGGATTTTGATCGAATCTATTTCATGGTTTGTACTAAGTTTGGAAACTAGACTATTTGTTGTCTCTGACATCAGAAAACTACAGAACAGCAGAAAATCAATAGATAAATAAGCAGCGTAAGCCTCCATGGTAAGGTCTATTCTGGGGCTCTGGAGAGGAGAATTGAGCTAACAATCATAAAATACTGTTAATCTCATTTGGATTTTTTAAATATGTCTCTTTACTTACCAAGCGTCTGAAAGTTTAGCGCCACCATCTGGCAGCCGACATTCCAGAAGAGCTGAGGCATGTAGTTGGAGCTGTCAACCCTCGTTCCCTTTGGATAAATTCGGCTCAGCTGATTCTTATTGTACCTGAAAAACTTCTGTTAAGGATTCATAGTCTTTACTCACATGGGGTGTTGAACATGTACAGCAACGGTTTATCACATGCAAAACAAACACCTGCTTACATTTTGTAATGTACTGATGAACATTTTGATTTTGTGAATGTCATCGGCTGAGGGATGCCACTCATGTCTGCAGGCTTCATATGAAACTATCAAGATCAAGTGCTCAAGTTATAATGAAGCTAACCTTCATGTAAGTCAAGATAAATCAAGATAAAATAGTCCTTTATTAGTTCCAGAATGGGGGCATTTACAATGCTGCAGAAGCATGTAGAGCAAAAAAGTGGTACAGAATTTAAACTATTACGATCTACCTTAATATCTACCTTAATAAAATCTTATGTCAATGAAAGACAATAAAATTTTGTTCGGAAGTCATGACATAATGACACTTAAATCCGCACAAAGACACAAACTACTTCTCAAGGGGTGACAAGCCAGTGAGGATACTCAACAAACTCAACAGGAGAGCTCTTCAGGGTGTCCATGCCTTTGGTTTCCACAAATGATGACATCTCAAAGAACTTCCTCCTCTCTGGAGGAAGGAAAAAGGAGAGAAATGGAAAAAGTAAGTCAAACAGGACAGACAGGGTTAAAGATTATTAAAATGATCTACTGTCTGCATAATAAGGAATGGTGACCGCATATTAATTGTGAATATGCTAGCTAGGAGCGAGTAGATACAGGGTGATTAAAAACAAAAACACAGTCTTGTGTGACAAATTCTCTCATAAAAGCAGCATATTTTATGCGAACATTTGTTTATGTGACACATGAAGCATAATTCTGCAGTAAAGTGTCAGAAATACAGCAGCTGCTGTCTGCTGTTAACTATAGAGCAAAGTGGACACAAGTGGACATTCCCAACTGGTGCCTGAGGGTAGGACTTACCTGCTTCACCTCGCTCATACACACCAAGTTTTTGTCTGACAAAGTTTAAGCATCTTTCAGCTTTTTTTCTAGCTTTGCTCCATTTGGAACACACACTTACTAGCTGCAACCTCGAAGTTCTTAAACTTGACAGGTTCGATGTAGTTGACGAGTGTTGACATCTCCTCTGTGGCGTTCACCTCACTGCTGGCAGTCCCCTGAATCAGACAGACAACACTAATCCATCATTCAACCTATGAGCTTGTCAAACAATCCAACAATCTTTTCCTCCATACCTCATCAGAATTGGGCTTTTTCTCTGGTTCATCCTCTTCATCCTCCTCACTTTCTCCTTCTCCTCCTGTCAGGATGAGATAAAGAAAGCTAAAACTGTCACCGAGTGTTCAACGTGCTGGCCTGGCTTCAAGCCACTTATTTAATTCGTAGTGAACCCACCGATGGACTTGCGAGGCTCTGAGTCCTTGACCAACCTCTCAGCCAGCTTTTCTTCACCATTGGACAGGATCTGGATTCCCTCACCATCTGTCAGGACGCAATCTATACAATTAACACACGTCTGTCAGTACTCAGCTGGTTCTGGACCGATATGTGATCTTTAAACTTGATCATAGTTCGGTAGTTCATAGGTTATAGTTGATTTTTAACATAAAAATCAAAGAAAACTGTTAAAATGTCATGGCGTATCCCTCTACTCTCACCATGAGAAGGTGATATGGGAGATAACTGCTCCCCTGGTTCTTTGCGACGTATACTGCCGCGACTCTCAGAGGGCCGGTGATGTGGATGCTTCTTCTTGTTTTTAACAAGTATCTTCCCCATCAACTCCTGTGGTGAGGGAAGTGGATGACCCGGGACCAGCTGAAATGACATTGATATTAAATAGTAAACTTTGAGGCACGACAAAATTAGACAGATAAAGGGTTTTTAAATAAGATGAACATTCCTTTTTAAAGATTTTAATATGTTGAGCAAGGGCTCAACGTTTCTCTTATCAGACCAGATGGCAAAATAAAGAATGTGACTGATTTAAAATGTAATGCTGTAATCGTCACAGGACTCAATCAAACATCCTGTAATCTGCCTAAATCCAAATTCTTGTTAGTAAAGAAAAAAAGACGACTGGTTATTTTAAACCACATCTCACTCTGTTTGAAGAGCCGAACTCTATTGATTTACTTCAAGCCATGGTTTCATAAGTTCGTCCTTCTAAAATTCAGGCCGCAAAGGCCAGATTCTTGGCCCTGCATACAGATGTGCACATGACAATTGTGACATATGAACATGTGTTTTTGATTGTCCAAATCTCTACTTCAGAAGTAGAGTTGTGGTCATGTATCCCTCAGACTTCTTGTATAACAGTACTGTTTTGACTGAATGATGTTTTATCTCTGGGGGAAAAAAATCATCATGAGCATGAGCTCATCTGCATATCACAAGGCATTTGATCCAATTTAATGGTTGGCAAGTTAATAAGCGCTGTGAGCATGAAGTGAAAAGCAGCCTTTTGAAATCGTACCGGGTATTTCTCCAGCGGGTCAATGAGCAGAGCGTCGCCAAAGATTGTCCTGCAATACTCTGCCATCTTGGCCTGCTGTTTCGCTCTGAATTGGCAGACAAAGGTTAGTTTTAAACTGTTTATTTCAGTTCATTTGAAATACTTTGATTTTAACACCATGATGGAAATAAAACCTGACATATAGTTATGCAACTTACGAATCCACATGATTTTCAAAGGACAGGATGACAGGGTAGGGGGAAGTCTTGAAGGCGCTCTCTGCTATCGCTTCAATCACCTCCTGCAGTAACGGAGAAAAAGACAAGTGTTAGAACCAGAAAATTACCCAGAAATGGGTCATAATAAATCAGAACAAAATCACATCCTAATCACGTGCTAATCAGGGAGGTGGTATTTTTCTTAGCAATAAATAAACGATACATGTTACTGTGAGCTAAAACATGGCAATGAAAGCACGACTTAATGACATAAATGTAAATCACATCCGGTAGCAGCAAATCCCACCTTAAAGGATATCTCAGTGGTCATGGTAAAACCGTGGGTGATGTAGGGCTCTTCGTCCGGTAGGCGGCCTTGCCAGCAATCCAGCTCCACACAGCGACAGCCCGTCAGCAGAACCTGTCTGTACATCTCCACGGAGGACAGACCCGTCAGCTGACCCACTAAAGGCACACAGACGTGCAGCTACAGATTAAAATCCCAAAGAATGCGTGCAAATCTAGACATTTAAAACAAAGTCAGCTTCGTCAGAGTGTAAATCAATAGCTAGAGAGGTTCTACGGCAAATATCAGTGAAGCAAATTAATGCTTTTTGCTTTTATTTCTGACAAACATTTCAACAGACAAATTTACAATATTAAATGGATACTTGTGCCATATTACAGGCTTCCTGAGAGCCTTTTACCAGTGAGGTATGTGTTGTGTGAGGAGTTGATAAAGTAGTGAGACAGCGGCTGGTTCATATCATCGATGATGTCCAACTTCTCTGGGGGTGCAATGCCATTTTCCTCTCCTCCCAGATAGCGAGTGAACGACAGCAAACTGATCTGGTCTGTAAAACAGAGCAGGAAAGAACATTTAAACGTTTAGAATACAAAACAAAGTTTTTATAACTGCCGTTTTACCTGCCGGAATCCTTGTGCTTCAGCTATCACAATTTCAAGGGTAAGTAATCGAGAGTAAAAAATAGTCAAAAAGCCAAAGCGTTCTGTTGTTTGTTCTCAGAGGGGAGCTCTCAGTTAAATCTGAACTCTGTGGGTAGTATGTGGGATCATCTTACAGGCTGCAGCTGAGAGGATATTTGGCAGAGATGGCTGTAACTCCATTTGTTCGCAGGTGTCACAGATCCTATTCAGTTGACATCACAACATAATACAAAGAAAGACTTTTAACCAGACTAGGAAATGATTCCTTCTTGTTTTATAGCAGAGGTGAAAATGAATGCAGCCTTAGTTCGCCTTTTCATCATTTTTTTTAGGGCTTTTCAGACTCTTGAAGAGGTCAGTGAATCAATGAACTACATAGAGAACTAACAGGAATTCAATAAAGAAAACAATCAGAGGCATTAATCATCTGTTGGTGCATGTTGCAAGGCATAGTAGGATTTGGTCAAAAATAAAAGTCACACACTGCTCATGTGTCTCCTGAATTACCAACCTCTCTCCAGCAGACTGTTAGTGTCATATTTCTCCATGATCTGTCGGACTTGCTCTCTCTTCAGTGGGGGGTAAAGCACCTCATTCAGCCGTGAGTCTCGCTGTCTGCAGTTGATAAAGGTCATGAACTGGTCCAAAGAGATGAATGGCTTCCTTTTGGCGCCACTGGATCAGAGACATAAGTGTATCAAAAACTTCTGGCAAAAGGAACGGTAATAAATGTAATTAGAAAATCACAGCAAGAGTGCATGAAAATGTCATTTAGGTTTCACGTACATCTCTTCAAAGATGGTTTGTATTTCAGGACGGAGACACAAGTGGTCAACAAACTTCTGGAAAGCCTCCCATGTGAAATCATCTTTTGGTATTCCATCTGACTGCAGACAGGTGGCATACGGAAATACAGGGAGATGGGCAAAACAAAAGACAATGTGAGGTGGATACAATGTAAGGTTATGATAGCAGTTTTTCTCTGATTTTCATATAGAAGATTTTTGCTAATTAAAATAGTTAAAGAACAGACTTTGTTGGTTTATGGAGCTGTGAGGAAATCTGATTCGGTTAGGTCAGTGTTCTGCTTTCCCTAACACGTTGACAACAAAATGATTAGTTACGCTTTTGAAATCAAGTTATACATTACAGCTAATTGAGATGAATTTTTAGGTAACTCGAGCACAATATAGAAATGACGCTTCCAGGATCGACTGGCATCCACTTCACTTTGAAATCTTTCTTTTTTCTTCTGCGTGACCAGCAGGAGGCATCAGAGGACAGCAGCACGAGGAGAGGTGCTGACTGCACACTTCTGTCTTGTGACAGATTTTGAGTAAAGATTGTACTGATTCTTACAGACACAAGCCTTGTTTCAGATAACATCTGAAGTCTGCTTCTGTATACAGCAGACACTAATGATGATTTTCCTCTATTCCAATAATTATTTCAGATTTGTCATCTGCAATCTTAGCATTATGACCAAGTCACGCCATGCACCCGTGATGGATCAATTTTAATTTCAATAAAGTTTCCATCTCAGAGAGAATTTACAGCGAACTTTGTTTAATGAGGTGAGTCTTGATGAGATGACACAACACTGTTATAAATATCCTTTCCATGGCTCAGAGTTAAAAATGGCGCCACAACCATTGGTCAGGTGGTGTAATTTAGCTCAGCTAAGCTCAACTTAGATCGACATTGTGGGAAACATTTGCCTTACTGCATCAGCATTTTTAGCAGTTATATCTTGAGGGCAAATTAATTCATACAGCTTTTTTTTGTAAAGAAACAAGCCAATCATGAGGTCTGGGACATGTTAGAACTAGTCATGAAGAAGAAGAGGTTAGAACTTAGCTGTGGGAAAAGATGGGGCGTTTTTGAAAATACAGTTAGATTTATTTCTCAGGCATAAAAGCAGGTTTGAAGGGAAGAATAAAACTTTAAATCAAATGTGAGATTTAAGATTATTCTTTTTCAGGAATGCAACCTTTTTGTTGCCCTTACTGTGTTGCCAAGCAAAGAAAGAAAGGGAATGCAGTATTTCTGCCTACTGAGGAGCATAAAGCAGTTGCAAATATTAACTAAATTGGATATTTACCTTGTTGTTGATAAGACCACACTGCTCCAGAGTCCCCTCCACTCGCTTTTTATCAGAAAATAACTTGAGAACACTAAAAAACAAAACAAAGATTTAGTTCAGATTACCTCATTCTTTACTCAGATTTTAATGTGAGTGATATGCAGATTTTATGACTGAGACAGAAAAGAAAGTGAAAGGGAGAGAGAGAAGTGGAAAAAAGAAGAAGTAGAGAGCGTATGAGTTCAGAATTCTGTGTAGAGTTGAAACGGTGGTTAGTGAGGGTGTTTCTCACTTCTTCACTGGGATCTTCCCTTCCTGGTTCACTTGAAGCTTTAGCCTAGTGTACCTAAAACAAACAGAGAAGCAGAGTGGGTGTAACATCACTTTAGTAAATTCGGATTAATGTGAAGACAAAAAAATAATCCTACGCTTTAAGAAGGAAGGTGTTCCGTGAAGCATTCTGGGAAAGGATGTTCGTGGCCAATGAGAAAAGCTCGTCTGTCCAAATCTGGAAACACACATCAAAATTGTTTTGACTGTTCATCTGTTGTTCCTTAGCAAAATACCTGATACATACTATGTAAAACGCACAGACAGACAGATAGTTACAACTCTTAAACATGTTATTGTACATCAAGCTCTCAGTAGGGTGTATGGGTACAGAGTAAGCTTCACTGGAAGTATGAGGAGCTGAAGAATGAGGAAAAAATGGAATTTAAGATGGAAATATTGGAAATAGTGCAAAATTGGATTTTTTTTTCCATGGTTACCTTTGCTTCGTCTTCCTGTGTAGCCTGGAAGTTGAGGAAGGAGATGTTGACCAGATCGCTGCCATAGACTATGGTTACCAGCTTCCCTTCCCCATTTTCCTTACCTAGGCCCAGCACCTCACGCACTTTTGGTTCCTGAAAAGCACACATTTATCCATCATGAGAAGTCTTGTATAACGACAGGACAGCAGGAGTATTTACTTGGGTCCTGGAGGACCGCTGTCCTGCAGGTTTTACGTGTTTCCCTGCATCCGATGAAATGGATCTAATCAAAAGCTCTGCACAAGTCTGTTGATTATGTTTTGATGTAAAATGGGTGTGTTAAAGCAGAGAAACATTTAAAACCTGCAGGACATCAGCCCTCCAGAACCAGAGTTGAAGACCCTCATAGAGGCTAGAGTATTAAGCTTAACGCTTGTGCAAACACTATATGGACAAACACAACTCTTGGCTTTCTTTCTGCCTCTTGAGAACAGTAAATGTGATGCATGTGGTTTGGCAATCTGATCTAATTATCTAAATGACCGCTTCCTCCTTTAAAGCTCACAAACTCCCTGAGACATACATTGTATGTCTCTCAATTATAGATCACTCTTCCTCCATTATATCTCATATTGCAGAGTCTGGGAGGGGTATTTTACCAAGAAAAATATCTAACATTCCAAACTTCATGATTAATGGAACATGCACATAAAGATATTATTCTCAGATTTAAATGGTAGATTTGTCAAAATGCTCACACAAGGTTGGATTATCTTCAAACAAACCAGCTTATATGGATGAGGTACCATGTTTTGCATTTCAGGAGCTACAACTGATGGACAAATGTAGGGCAGCATGATAAATTTGAATAACTGTGCTGTTGCGCCTGCTATTGTGTAACATTCCTGGTTTATTTGACTGTTTGCGTGTGGTGTAATGAAGTCAAACCAACAGCTTTCCACATGGGAATGGAACTTAAAATTAAGGGGAAAAAATTCAAGTTTTCCCTCAAGAAAGTATCACTTCACCTGACAAAAGGCACCAGAAATGTTAATTACTTGCTCATTTTTAAAAAAATATCTTCAGATGAATTATTCTGGATGAGCCGTTTTTAACCAAAAATTACATTTTCATTTTAATCACAAACATAGGGAAGAGTAAGTCTTAATAAAGATGTAAGCTTGCAAAACAGTACACAAAATGCGTGTTCATGTAAAAAGCATTGTGAAAACTGTCAATTTCTTGACTATCTGGACTCTCAAACTCTGGATGCAGCACAGCTTTAAATGATAACTACACTTCAAACTGAATTTCCATATAAATAAGATGTTATGCATTCATATTTTGCATGTAACCATTTACAGTAAACAGGCACTTTTCTATTACAAATGGGAAGTCACAGGAACACATCAATCTGGGAGACAATCAGCTTGAAAATCTTGAAGTGTATAAGAATGGAATTTCTTCTGTCAGTGCTGGCGGTCTTTCCTTCTCATTGAAAGTGTTTGGTAAATATATACTCAGAGCTATCTGATGCTGGGTGGTAATGTGTTAACCAAAATCATTAGAACAAATCTAAACCCAGGTAGTGCTATATGTTTTTCCCCAGTGATAAAGGTAATCTTCCAAAAGTCCTTATCCTAAAAATCTAAAGATTATGACCTTAATGACTGATCTGCATCTCAAATCTTATTCGGCACTCGAAGGATTTGAGACAACAAGTTTATCTTTTCTCACACAAATATTCCGTTTTTTTTCCTTAACCTCAAAACCATCACCCATAAAATGTAAACTGCTTAAACCCAAAACAATTCCCCACTCACACACTTTCCTGAGACTTTGTCAGTGCTACCCAAGATATATTGCAGACCTCACAGAAAATATGTTGGAATAGCTTTGAACTATAAAGGCTGTCCTTGTAAAACTGTTGACCGTGTGCTCTGTGGAATTTCTGGATTGACAGAAACATTTCGGTGATGTGGAACTTTTAAAACATGCATTAGGTATCTCTGAGGCACTTCTTTCTGCAAGCGTCTCGTTTTGTCAGCGAAAAACACAGCTTTGTTTACCAGCTACACATTAATAACAAATAAAGGAAAAAATATTGTGCAGTTATCAAAACCAGTCTTAAAAGAGGTTAAAATTATCCAGAGGACCAACCGTCGACTTGTCTCTTTGCTCAAATGACTGGTCCCATTGTTAATAACATTTCTTTCATAACAAAATTATGAAAATAGTTTTTTTACTGGCAGAAAAAAGCTACAGATATGGCATTGAACGCCACGTTTGGCCAAAGTGAGGGTGTTCACCTACAACTTAAATTTCAGAAAAGTTGGGACATTGCATAAAATGTAAATGAAACCACAGCAATAAGACTTGCACTGTTGTTGATACAGCACACTCAAATGTGCTGTATCAACATCTATAAAGTTTTACATCCACACAGTTTGTCTAAGTCGCTGCTTTAGGTCGGTCCTCAGCAGATGTACGCTCTTACACAATGACTTCCTCGCCAACAGTCACTGGTTATATCACTTCCTGTCTGACAGCCCATCTGTCAGGCAGCTCATTAACACGCCGGCACCTTTGCACCATCATCTGAGAGAGCTAACGCACACAAATCTCTGGCTGACAGTCACACTTGAGCATCACATTTGTGGTCTGAGGACAGAATCATCAACCGTAGGGGCTCACAGCTTTCTCTGACTGTAAAACGTTACTATGCCACCCACCTTTGGCTGTTTGGCGTATTTTCCTGTTCTGGTGTCCCTGATGGTGCTTATGTCCAGGATCTCAACCTCCTAGGAGAGAAATAAAAATGGGAAAAATCATATGTCACCTGCAGGAAAGTAAAATACATAAATATTCAAGCCTTTTTTAGGTGATACGCTTTAACTGGAAAATTGATATAAAATATATTAATTTACAGATATATATATTAAACAAGATCAGAGAGAAATTAAAATAGGAAATTAATAAAATAAGAACTTCACAAAACCCTAAAAGTCCAAATTGCCATTGTTGTGAATTATAGTTGTGCATTTCAACTGAACATACTAATGGAAATCACAGGTTCAATTAAAGTACCAACAAAATTCTCTGCAAGTCTGAAAAAGAGCAGAAAATGAACAAACTTCAACACTCATTTGCATCTGCGAGGTTCAAATTGGGGTTATTTCTAGCTTGATTATCGAGTGGTGGTGTATGATATCAGTCACAATCTAACACACTGACATATTCAAATTCACTCTGACTGATCGTTGATGCTGATACAGAAATGATTATTGATGTTGCTCCACAGACAAACATTATTTCAAATATTATTACGTTAGGCACAAATTTAGTTCTTGTGGGAGATAAACCAATTCGATTTTGCAATAAAAACACAGAATTTCCATTTATTGAAAGGCCAACATGAAACTCACCTGTCAGATTTATTTATTGAATTTTTACAGCTAATGCAGTTTTCAAAAAGGCTTAACTGACTGATAACAGTGACACACCACAAAACATCGTATGTAGTTCATAAAGTACAGCCTGACAGGGTGGCTTTAATGTCACTGTAATGTTTTCTTCACCTAAACCAGAGTTTTGCTCGCACAACGTTTAGTTAAAGATCCCTAAAACATAATTCTGTTTCAGATTAGAACATGATTTTTGTTGTGAACAATCTCAACCAGTAAGAAGAGAAAAGAAATATCTCCACTGACAGGATGGTAAGAATGGTTAAACATAATTATTTAATAAATTATAACCATTAATGCAAAAGGCTGCAAAGAGAAATGCAGATTGTGTCAAAGTCTGCTTTTTTAGAAAGGAGAGAACTTGAATAAAAGCTTGTGCTGAAATGAACTCCCCAGGCTAAAAGCTCATGCTTCGTACTCCCTTTCATCTCCTTCCATTCAACCTCTTATTTATCTTTTAGCTTCTCGGGGCAGAAAACACAGCCAGTGACTCATGAACTTTGTGGGTTTGAGTGTCTGCGAAAGAGGAAAACAAAGAAATGGAGAGAAGAAGAACACAAACACTTTTTTGGACCCATCTCTGGAGCACATTTTCTATAGCACAGGTGCACACACGACAACCCAGAGCCACCACAGCTTTAGTTTTATTAAAAATGCACACACTGATCTTTATTCACTGCAAATGGCAGTGACATATAGACCCTAACCCTAACCCATAATTACTAATGATTTTAGTTATGGGAGCCAGTTAGCAACAAACAGTCAAACCAACTCATTTAGAAAAACGATGTTAAAACAGAGCAACTTCCCCACCATGCTGTGTACGGTATATGTGTGTGTCAGGATTTTAGGAGTGGATCCCTCTAACTGCCGGGTGAAAAAATTCCTTGAACCCAGAGGACGCCGCCAGATTCAAGCCAGGATAAGTCAGAAAGGAGAGGGGTGGACAGGAGGAGGAGCATGTGGTCATAAACCAAACCATAAACATGGGGAGGATGCATGCATTGCCCCGTGTAAATATTTGTTTAGACCCACACTCGTTCCTCCAGCTGTTCTTGCTACATCGATGTCACATTTCCTCTCTGTTTCTTTGCTTTATTCAGCATTCGGTGGCATTTTTTCTTGGTCAGTTTTATGCTTTTAGTGTTTAAACTTTTTGTTCCATTTTCCAGTGTTGTCTAAGTTAAAAGTGCATCATACGTTAGGGGCTGAGAGGACAGTCCCAGTGTTACTTTGTCAAATCCTTGCCCATATCCCATTTCCAAAAGAAAAAAATAAGCACTTTCCATCAGCATAGTTGTCTAGTGAATGTCACGTCTTCTTCGTTCTTTTTTTTACTTTTTTCCCAGCCACCGGTGATGTCATCTCTCAGCAGACTGTCAGCTCCCCTGGGATTGGATGCGAGAAATAAAGGTCGCAAGAGTTGCGCGAATTGGATTCATTTCTGTCTCAGACTTTGTCCTCTGATTGGCCTGTGGAGAATAACTAACTTCCTAGGAGAATAAACCACTTCTGGGTCTGTAGGACACACACACACACACTTGCATGTGCACACACTCTCTCCCACAGGCCATGGTTTCATTCTGCCACTGCCATGGTGACTCCTTGGAGACCACAGAAATGAGACTACAACTTTGTCTTTTACACCACAAGTCG